AGTTACAATCAGGGAAGTCCTAGCACAGTTCTTTCAAGAGCAGAGAAGAGAGACGGGTGCAAAGCACCACTCTTGCTGCATGCCCAGCAAACAGGCCCTGTTGAGGTCTCAGTCAGCCAAGACCATTGCCAGGGGATTCCCTCAGCAGAACAGTGTGCCATGTGCCTAAGGTTTCCCACATGGGCTAAGCAGACAGAGATCCAGGAGCCATCTCCCACATTCAATTATCTACGTTTTCTGTAAAAATGAGATGAAGCTTATCTCTGACCATTCAATGAATAGAATAAGAGGCAGTGCATTGCTTTACTAAATATCCCCTTTATAAACCAGGTATTTTTTTTGGGGGGGGGGACGGGGAGTGTCTATTCAAGTAAGGAGCAATCAAGTGCTTATGTCTGCTGTCCTCTAAGATAATGAGATTGGTTTTAGCATGATCAGTGAGTCCTAGTTTCTCTGGGTCTACCCTGAATCCATGACTTAAATTTCTAAGACTCAGAAAACATCTCAGTCTAGAACAAAATACTAGGTCATTCTATCAATTTATAAGTTTTTAATTTGCACATGCAACGACTGGGAAGCGGAGGCCGTACGAATTACCCAATAACTTACAGGTGGCAAGGAGTAAGTCTGGTATTCAAATTGTACTTCATATGACAAAGATAATGACAGCGATAGTTTAACAGTGTAACATTTATTGCAAAGGATATTCTGCCTCTTGTCATGCAGAAACCATTCATTCTTTCATTCATTCGACAGGTCCTACTTTATATCAGGGACTTGGGCAGATACACAGAGCCTGAGATGCTAGCCTTAGGATGCTCATCTGGGGGCACAGTCAATCACAAGCTGGTGTGGGGACTTCGTCTGGTGGCAAGCCCTCACCTCCACATTCCCTCCATATAGGTGCGTGAGTCACGTGGATTTTTATAAGCTCCAAGCTTATGGATGATACTGGATTTTTGCACTTCTGTTACCTCTGATTGAAAGACTCATTCTCTCTGTCATTCAGATGTAATGTCACCTCTCCTCATAAAAATAAAACTTTGACTACTGCAAGATAAACTAACCACCCAGAAATTATCTATTCTATGACTCCGTTTTGGTCATTTTCAATGTGTTTATTTATAAATATCTTATTTGATTGCTTGTTTGCTGATTTTTTGCCTATCGTTTTCCATATGATGTAAATTCCAGGAAGAAGGAATAAATTACTATTTTTTTTTTTAATGTTTGGCTGGTTCCAGGAACTAAGGCAAGTACTAGGCTCACATAAGCAGTTAGTGAGTATTTGTTGAATGAACAAAATGAGTGCATCAGTAAATATTGGGGAAGCTGGAAGAACCTCTAACTCCAATAACAGAGTTGTGGTGTGTAGAGAACTGTGGTGGAAGAATTACTTCAAATAATTCAGTCTTGTTTTATAGGTAATGCATTCTTCCCAATTTTTCCAAAGTTGAATGAAGCCTTTACAAGAAGGAAAGAAAATAAGACCAACTTTATATAATCATTGATAATATTGTGTTATCCTTTGTTAGGTTTCTTAGTTCCATTACTCAGATACTTTTAAACAAAAGCCAATTATTCTTTTTCATAGTGGTACACCCTTTGAGCATGTATTTTCTTTAATATCTTATCTTAGTCTTTCATTTTGTTGTCGTGACATTAATTACTTAGCCAAATTTCTATTTTTGGACTTCTGATATCCTTTTTTTTTCCTACTATGCATGCAATGGAACTGAACAGCCTCAAAACCAGGTCATTGTCAAGGTTAATGTGGTCAATTCCAGCACAGCAGAAGCAGAACTTCTGTTTGAGATCTAGATCCAACAGTTTGTTTTTAGCTTTTGATTTTGAAGTTTCATGATCTGATAGGTGGTGATACAACTTTGTGTTCCTCCTGTGTGAATGAAACAATGTGATGAAAGGGAAGGGTTCTAATGTGTGCATCCAAACAGGTGTTCACTGCCTGGGTGCTCTCCTTTGAGTCAACCACCTGAAGTCTATATTGCTGTCCAATCTATCTTACAGGGCCAATAGTTGAAGAGGAGGGATTCAGGGAGATTGCGGACAGAGGAAGTGATTGTGGAAATAGGAAAACGTGTAATTATGAAGACAATAGATCTACATTGCACCAGCCAAAAACTTCAAAACAACAGAAAACAAATTAATGGTATCTGTTGCATTGGTCCTGGCACTGCTTCCCATCATAACCAGCATAGTTATGATTCACTCCATGACTCCTCTTCCCCAGTGGAAGTCAAAATCCACAGATGGCCAAATCCCTTAAATAAAATGGCATACTAGGGCCTGGCATAATGGCTGAGTGGCTGAAACCCTTACCTTACATGTGCCGGGATCCTGTGTGGGCAATGTCCTCACTGTTCCTCTTCCCATCCAGCTCCTGCCTGTGGCCTGGAAAGGTGGGGAAGGATGGCCCAAAGCCTTGGTACTCTGTACCTGTGTGGGAGGCCCAGAGGAGGCTCCTGGCTTCTGGTTTTGGATCAGTTTAGTCCCAGCTGTTGGGGCCACTTGGGGAATGAACCAGTAGGCAGAGGAGCTTTCTCTCTGTCTCTCCTTCTTTCTGTGAATCTGCCTTTTCAATAGAAGTAAATCAATCTCTTTCTTTAAAAGGCATATTTACATGTAAGCCATGCTTTTCTTCTCACATACTATAAAATGTTCATTTTTAAGGGAAGCTTTATTTATTTTTAAAACAAAAAAAAAAAGATGGAGAAAAGCAAAGAGAGAGAGACATCTTCCAGATTGCTTGAATGGCTGGCCAGTGCTGGCTTTTGCAAAGCCAAAACACTTGTGTTATTTTCTGCTTCTTTTTCCAGGTCATCATCAAATAGTTGTACCTGGAGTGGAGTAGCTGGGACAGGAACTGGCACTCATATGGCATACTGGTATTGCAAGTGTTGGCTTTACTTGTTATGTCATGATGCCAGTCCCCTTGAAGATATTTTTAGCTTAATTTAAGTTTCACTTCAAAATATTTTTATTTTTATTTGAAAGCAAGAGAGCCATATCCTACTTAGTTGCCTAAAATGGCTGCGGTTTGGCAAGGCTGAAGCCGGGAGTCAAGGATGCAATTCCGGTTTCCCACATTGGTAGCATGGACCAACTCCTAAAGTCATCATTTGCCACCTCCCGGGGTACATGAGCAGGAAGCTGGAATTGAAGGATGGTGCCGGAATCTTAACCCAGGTATTCCTTTATGAGATTCACACATCCCAAGTGGCATCTCAACTGATAGCAAAATACCTGCCCCACACATATATTTTCTTATTTTTGTTGTGTGTTTTTAAAATCTTTTTTTAAAAAATTAATTATGTTGCATTATGTGACACAGTTTCATAGGCTCTGGGATTCTCCCAGCCCCTTTCATAACCCTCCCCCCATGGTGGATTCCTCCACCTTGCTGCAGTATTACAGTTCAAATTCAGTCGAGATTCTTTCTTTGCAGACATATACCAAGCATAGTGTCCAGTATCTTATTGTCCAGATAAATTCAACAGTTTCTTGGGGAGACCATCTCTGGTCTGAAGGTAGAGCTGGCAGAATATTATCCCAATCAATAATAGCCCCAACACAATATTAACAACAATTTATGACATTATGGAATTGACATGGTATTGAGTAACCAATATGTTTTTAAAAAATGCAAGTTCTTAACCACATCCTGTGACTACTTCACTGACATTTCAATTTTGGTTTATATACAGAACCAGCTGCTATACACCTTAAAATGGCTATAGGGTACTATTCAGCTGTCTCGTGTCTATTTTAATTTTAGCATTTAGCAGTTTATAGTGCTGAAGCATAATTTTGCTGAACGTGGCAGATTTTAGGATAGCCTAAACTGGCTTATAATTCTAACAAGGCATATGTCAACAGTTGAGGTGCAGAACAGTTTCAGGAGGGTGTGCAGAGAAATCTTCAATACCTTAGTGAGGAGCAACTATTCTCTGTGTCTCACCTAGTAAGGTATATCACACATATATTTTCTAAAACCATTTACAGAATATTCCTAGCCTTAGTACAATGTAAGTGGTATGCAAGGATTGCTCTACTCTAAGGTTTAGGGAATAATAATAGGACATTTGTACACATTCAGTACAGATATCTGAACAATAACATAACATCTTCCCCCCTAATATTTTCAATCCATTGTTGGCTAAATCCATAGACACACAACTCACAGATAGGGAAAACTCACTGTATGCCTTTCTGGGACAGTGACAAAAGCAAAGAGTGATTAAGCAAATTCTAATTGTTCAAGATGAATATCTGGGAGAATGGAAAGTCCATCTATTATCTAAAGAAGTCAGGGAAATGAGTTCTGCTTGGTCACACAGTCAAACTTTAGATTTGAGTATAGAGAGATGTCTGGTGAGTTAGCCAGAAAAAACACATCAGGGCTTCAGACGACTGGGTAAACAATGTAGAGCACATTTGGAGCCTTGGCAGTGGCGATCATTTAACTTCGAGCTGTATTCTGTTTCCTTTCTGATAAGAAACTGTAAGATCATCCCAGAATATCCCACTTACTACCAATAGATATTATTTATTGATGCTCTATTGAATTCACAAATACAATATAAATATAAAAATTATTTTGAGAGGAGGTGGAGAAGAGAAGAGAGAGAGAAAGACAGATTATCCATCTGTAGGTTCACTGCTCAAATGCCAGCAATAGTCAGGGCTAGGCCAGGGCAGAGTTGGGACCGTGGATCTCCGTGTGGGTCATTCATGTTGGTGATGGAAATCCAAGGGTTTGAACTATCAGCTGCTGCTATCAGAGTATACAGGCAGCTGGAGCAGAAGCTGAGTAAGCTGGGATTCAAACCAGCCTCTCCAACACAGGCTGCAGGTGTTTCAGGTGACAGGCACTGTACCAAATGCTTGCCCCTAGTTCATAAATTCTAATTTAAATTTTTTGTTTTCTCTAAACAATATGTTAAACTTGTAAATGCAAAATACCAGAGTCACACACTATTAACATGTTTATTTAGTCATGTTTGACATGTTGAAATTAAAAAGAATATTTTACATATTGTATAATTTACATTTTTATAAATACTTTTAAAAAGTGGAAATCCTCTTGGTGACATTAGAAGAATATCTACCTTGAATTCCACAACCTGTTTTTTAATCTGGCCAATTAGATTCATTTGTGTATATGCATATTTCTTACTTATGGGTATCCATAATTATAGCCTAAGGATAACTTTGGGACATGTACATAATAATTCTAAACTCTCATAAATGTGTAGCCTATCGCACCACAGTCATGTTGATTTTGTTCTTTATTAAAATTGTACTATTGTACATTTGAAAAACATTTGCGGTTGCAATCATTGCTTTAGGCCTTGACTTATCATCTTAGTCTGCTCAGTTTATTTACTGATGACACGGTCCCCGCTCCTCTATTCTTGCTTCTGCTGAGTTAAACACTAGTGAGCCTCAGCGGACTCCAGCATCCAGATGTCTGAGGCCCACGAGGGCCCAGTCACTGCAGTATTGGGAGTTTTCTGTTCTGCTTCTTTCTATTGGAAAGGAGTCAGTTAGCCTGAAGTGGAGCAAGTTTGATACCAATCCACCCTTAACAAACATTTCATTATTGTAGGTACAGCATGTTTCTTAGTATACAACTAAACAGAAAACGAATTGCCTCTGGAGTTCCTGTTGAAGAGTTATGTGTTTCCTTGGATCTTGGGCTGGGAAGTTCAGAGTTGTCTTACCCTAAGAAGGGAGCCCAATAAAGAACTCATAATTCAAACCCCAATAAATGATGAAATGCTTCTATGAAGATAGATTTGTTATGACTCAAGTTTCTCCATGTCATTCATTACAGGGATGTTTTCTTGGAATTGCACTATGCACAACAAATTAAGATGAGTGCAATGTGGTCCAATCTACAAAGTAAAGCATTTATCTTACGTCCTAAATTTAGAAAATTTGCATTTGTAATAAACACCATAGGAAATTAAGTCATCTCTAAGCCATCTCCTGAGCTTAGTTTGATTCCAAGCTTATAGTTGGAATATCTGCTTAAAAAAAAAAGAAGCTATAAATTACTCATATGGTCACAGAAAAATACCTAGGAGTCAAAGATGAAATAAGGATGAGTCATTATTTTTCTTATATTCATTTCTTGGTGTTGATGCAGTAGCTACAGTTTGCTTCTGTGACTGTGCTTCTTCAGGGATGTGTTACATTTCTTCTCTGCTAGTCTCAGGCTCCTGAACCTGGAGGACAGCCTCATTGTTCTGAGGACAGTTGGTGTGACAGGTACAGGTCCCAATGACCATCACGGGTCTCTTGATCTGCCCTTGGGAGCACTGGAACTCCACCTGAATAGTTTTAGTGTTGTGAGGCGTGCAGCATCGTCCATCACTGCAGACCCCACAGAATCTGGGCTTGTAGGTGTGTAGGCTGGTGCAGTTCTTGAACTGCAGGTGCATGGCTGTGAGTGATTTCCTGGTGCGAAGACACCTTTTTCCTTTCTAAAAAAAAGGAGAAAAGGAGTGATACACAGCATGGGTCATGTGGTAAAGAATAACTTGTTAGTTGCCTGGCCAATATCCATTATCATTCTTACTTGCTTAGAGAACGGAAGTTTGACTGGCCAGTCTAGTCAGTAAAAGAGTATTTGATTCCCAGAATTTCTTGTAGCTTAAGATGGTCTTATGGGCAAATTTCTGCCTAACGATAGCATAAACTAAAGTTTAAGGGAATTCTTTCACTTTTTAGACAATTGCTTATTATTTTTTTTCCCGGAATACAAATTCTACACCTAATCACACACTTTATTTATCTTTTGACCTTGAGGTGATGAGCTTCAAGAAAGAGTATGTTTGATAATGAAATGTATTTTTAAAACTAACTATAACAGGCTTTGGCTTCCTTTTTAACAAGATGCATTCTTTGGTGTAACAATTTGGCACTATTGCAAATCTACTCAAACACTTTTCTGACAATCAGTTGACCTTAACAACACCAAAAATAACTCCACAATCAAAGTATACTTATTAGTTGTTAGGTAAAAAAGTGGTAAGCAATCAGAAAATAGATCCTATTTGAATTTGTCGATGCAAAGCCCATTCTTTCTGTAACAAGATGAACTGAGGAAATTCTAAGACAGTGGGATGTGAGGTCGTTTTTCTTGAAGACAAGGTAAATGCCAATTTAATCAATATGCCAATATGCCACCAGTAATGCTTGCTGGGAACTCCAGTATTGATAATTAAAAAATCACTTTTATTTCCTACTTAAATTTCTTCATTTACTAGTTTGTGACAATTTTCCACTTCTTACCTTTCTGGGCATGACCCACAGCTCATGGGCTAGTGAAATTTGGAACTCTGCTAAACTGGGATCTCTTGAAACTTGACAGGCATCAAAATCATCTAGTGGATCTGTTGAAACACACATTGTTGGGCCTCCTGCCCAGAGCTTTGGGCTCAGTATGTATGATGTGGGGCCCATGAGTTTGGGTTTCTAAACATGCTTCTGGTGATCTCATATTGTGAGCCATTTTCTCAGATTTAAGAATCTCTTGGACATAAATGTATCTATTATTTATGCATATTTTTCCCTCTCTCTCCTCTCTCTGTAACTTTGCCTTTTCAACTAGATAAAATAAGTCTTAAAAAACAAATAAGGGATCTGGGGCCTGGTATGGTAGTCTAGTGGTTATAGTCCTTGCCTTGCATGTGCTGGGATCCCTCGCAGGTGTTAGGATCCCATATGGGGGGCTGGTTTGTATCCTGGCTGCTCCACTTCCCATCCAGCTCTCTGCTGGTAGCCTGGGAGAGCGGTAGAGGATGGCCCAAGGCCTTGGGACCCTGAACCCATGAAGGAATCCTGGAAGAAGCTCCTGGCTCCTGGCTTTGGGTCAGCTCAGCTCCAGCTGTTGTTGTGGCCACTGGGGAGTGAATCAGTACATGGAAGATCTTTCTCTCTGTATATCTGAATTTCCAATAAAAATAAATAAATCTTTAAAAAAACAAAACAACCCCCACCAAATAAGGATCCTAAATATAGTATCTCCCAAAAATTAAATAAGAATTCAAGTTATCAGAAAAATTGATAAATTTTGAGAATAGAAGCAATAGAAAAGGCATGTATATTAGAGGCATGCATAGAACAATCTTATTTAATGAAAGTTGCGGAGTCCCTGGAGATGTTCAGGGGATTTTGATTTCTCCATTTTTTTTGGTAGTTAATGTTTAACCAAAACTCAAAAATGGGCACAGATTAGCAGTATCCACATGTGTGAGACTGTTTATGTGGCTAAACTTGCATTACTGGGCAACATGCATATTTTGTAAGTATAGGGAAATGCATATTTTAGAGAAATGGCTTTTTATATGTTCCTTTTAAGCTGGTACAAAAAAAGTATGAAGTTGTGACAGACCTCAAAAAGTCATATAGCTAAGTAGCCGTGCAACTAATACAATAACTAAGGGATTATTTTTTTTATCAATATATATAAACTTTAAGTGATGGTAGCTAATGTTAACAGAGAATTTATTGCTTAATATTCTTTGAAAATTCATTTTATTTAAGGCTCATGAACATTTTGAGGTGAGTACTTTCAATGGCCCCATTACATGGAGGAAGGAATTGAGATTAAGAAAATTGCCCAAGATAACACAGCTCCTTCATGTTGAAAAACAGGATTTAAAGTCAAACTGTCTGGCTCCGGAATTGTTCCCTTAAGCATTAGATGACATTGTCCCAGTGCAGAGATAAGTAAATCTTAAATTGTTGGGTTTTAAGGGTTCATAAAATCACTGGATTTGGGTGTTGTACTTTTCTGACATAGGGCTCTGGTAAAAAGGCCTGTGATGTCATCAGGAGCTAATCAGGGCTGCCAACCTGTGTGCCTGACACTCAGTGTTAACACAGAGTTGATCCAATTCCAGAGAAAAAAATGAAAAATGCTGTTTCATTTGGGCCATATTGCCTTGTGTTGGCATGTGTGCTATTTCCAACAGACTTTTAAAAATACTGATAAGAATTCCCAATTGTCCATTCATCTACTCATCAAAAATTATAAAAATTATTTATCATACACATGCTTTGTACTAAGTGAAGTGTTGGGGATTGAAAAGTAAGGCAGCCCTTCTTGCTTCACAGAGATTGAAGCTGAAGGGGGAAGGAAACTGAGTCAGAACTGACCTCTTGAGAAGTAGCTGTGTTTGGCAACTGGGTAGACAATTTTCTCTAGAAATGGAGCCTTCTAGATTGTTCTCAGTTTTGGAAAGCATTATGGTTGCCCAGCTTTTCACACATCTCTTGTAGATCTGTTGTGAGTTGCTGGCTTCTGAAACCTCTCTGCCTTTTCTTTGGAGTTCACTCTTCCTTAAGCTAACAACTAGCATTGCTGTGGCTGTCTGAGGCCCAGCCTTGGTGATGGCAGGCTTGCTCCAGGCTCTACCTTGTCTGTTGGTTGCTCCAGCTCTTGCTCACAGGGTCGCACCATGCAGAGCCGAGTCTGCTTCACCATCTCACACTGACGATTCCGGTTGGTGACCCGGGTGGAAAAACCCATGCCACATGTCTTGGAACATGCACTCCACTCGGTGGTCTGTTCAATGCAGTTGACACTTGAATCAGGAACTTCAATTCCCAGGGTAGCTTCAGGTCTGTAGGCTGTATAAAGATTGTGGGATTGTATAAAGAGCTGCAGGTGATGGCTCAGGTAACTGGCTTCCTGCCATCCATTTGGGAGACTGGACTTATATTTCCAGTCCTTGGCTGCAGCCCTGGCCTGTGTGCACACTTGGGGAATAAACCATTTATAGGGACTCTGTCTATATGAGTGTCTCTCTGCCTCTCAAATAAATAATAATAAAAAGAAATTGGTCTCATTCAGTTCTGTAGCTAATAAGCAGTGGTGTTCCAGGTGGCAGAACTGAATTTCCTTCTTTATAAATATTTCTTCTTTATAAATCCCTAACATAATAACTAGTACATTGCAAGCCTTGTGGATTGTCTGTCCAACTTGACCTTACAAATCATAGTGGAACTTGTCTTAAAAAGCTTAGTAACTTTAAGAATGTAGAAAAGTATGGCATAAACAACCATTCCATAAAGAGTAGTATTTTCAACACTTTATTCTATGTCTAAAATGAATCAATATAAAAATTTAATTGTGATGAGGAATTAAGATCAGCCACATTAAATTAGTATTAAAAGAAATGCTGCTTTCTGGAAATAGAACTGGCTGTTCGGGTTATGCAATATACATATTTGGACTTTACAGAAAAATCTTGTCTCAACACTTCCTATTCATGGTTTGGGGCAAGTCTTTCTCTTCCACATGGCAGTATTCCTATCTTTAAAATTTGGCTGACAATTTCTGACATCAGAAATATTGTAAAACTCTGGGCACTGCCAATGTAAATAGTCTGGTTGGTTACTGACTTCAAATCCTATTGTTGAATTTCTCCTCCAAAAACTAACTTATAAATGATACACAAAATAAAAGTCTAGAAGAATTACATGACCCTTTGTAAAGAATCTGGAAATATGGCATTTCTCTGTGATACCTCTGCAGGCCTGAGTAATGCTGCTTTAAGGAGACTGTTCTCAGACATCAGAAGTCATGTACACAATCCAGAAAAGAAAAAAAAAATTCTACTGTTAGTTTTACAGTTAAAGGATCAACTGTGATGGACAAACTAAACTACAAACAGTAGTCATCCATGAAACAGAAGTATGTCAAAAGAGTAACCAAATTCAATAGGGTCTCTTTAGAAGAAATTGGGTCTATATATATTCGGTAACATTGTTAATGTGCAGTCATGATATGCTTGATCTCAGTGGGCCATGTGGACTCCACAACTGAATGGTCAGAAACTTAGGCCAGTTGGTCATTTCAAATCCAGGCTTCCTGCCCTTGTTTCTCTCTTCCCCAGCCATTTGGAGTGTCTCACCTGGAAGGGTAATGCCTCCCAATGTTCTCTTTTCATCTGGATCACACGTCCACTTTTCACAGCACTCCCCAGGCACTGCAACTTTCCTTGGAGCTGGGCAGTCAGGATGTGGCAGTAGCACATCGAGCTGACAGCGGGGTACACAGCCAATCTGCCCATCTCTGCAGGTGCAGAGGTATTGGCAGTTTGGCTGGAACTTCTCTCCACTGCGATAAATGACTCCATCGAACACACAGTTATCTCCTTCTAGCACTGCAATGTTGGAGAAGAGAGGGAGAGAGGGAAGAATACATTGGAGAAACTGTGCAAGATTTGGTGGACAAATCCCAAACCCTGAGTCATTCCTTATTTATTTCAGGTGATCTGGCTCTTTATGCCTCTCTCCTGGTACCTCCTCATGGAGGACTCCCAGAACAAAAAAGGAAAATTGCTAAGCCCTGTCATTTGTTTATGGATGAGGAAAAAGGGTAGAGAAATATTTTAAGTCTGAGAAATTGTCAATATAAACAATCTGATTTATGCCTCTTAAATACTCTCCACCATAGTTTGCGATTTCCCTCTGTGCCCCCAAACCATTTCTTTCATAAGATAAAACAGAAAGAACAACTGTGAAGTGACATCCTCAAGGCACTGTGCTGAGGTACCCGGTGATAACATCAAGCTGCAGCAATCGCCTTAGTTTCCCCTATTCCAGCAACTGACGCTTACAAAGAGAAAAAGTGCACATGGTATTTTCCAAGTAGGTCAACTGGTTAAATTGGGAAGGGGGTATTGGCATGGAAGTACAATAAATCACCCATCCTTTAGACAAAAATATAACAAAAGGTTGTTTCCAGTCCTATTTGGACAGGCGGGGAGATCACCAACTACACGGCTTTACTGTGTACAATATTGATCCTTGATTGATTACATTTTGTGAAACCATAGGATTGATTGCTTGCATTTTTATTCTATTTCTAGCCTAAGAGGGGTTACAAAGTCTTTCCAGCAGACGAAGGTCTTTCCAGCACCTGCTTTGGCTCAAACAGGTCAATTGCAGGTGTGAAAACAAACCTGTTGGACTGCACTTGGCCCAGCTGGGAGCCAGGGAGTCTATCACCCCCAGGCGCTTTCCTGGAACTGTCCAAAGGAAATGATTTCACTGGCCCTTAACTTAGCATTTCATCCCCTGTCTCTAGGGAGGCACGTGATCAGTTCTCACCTCCACGGGACAGGTCTCCTTGCGGGTTTCTGGAGCTCCCCAAAGTCTCCAGCGCTTTCAGACCATGCCTGGCACTCAGTAGAGGGCTCCCCAGTGCATCCTCCTTATTGTTACTATCTTACCATCCTCTGAGAAGAGGAGGAAAGGGGAGAGAATGATAGGGACAGCCTCAAGGAGTGCGAGCAAAAAGGGCAAAAGGTGGAGGGGGCAGGATTACCCATGCAGATGCCTGTCTGGTTGCTGGGGTCTGCGCTGCGGTCACAGTAGAGACCACTGCTCTGGTCGCAGGGTTGCAGCTCCGAGCAGCTCTCACCGCGCTGACGCGCGCACACGAGGCAGCAGGAGCAGCCGTCAAGCACCGCGCGCACCCCAGGGGCGCAGGTTGGAGGTGTGGAAGGACACTGGTGTGGACACGGAGACGGACATCGCTGAGCCGCAGCCACCTGGGGCAGAGAGGAGAGAAAACAAAAAACTCTCTCAGGAGCTGCTAGCCCAGGGATCAAGCAGCGGGCGCTCAGGAGAGCAAAGTTTGACGGGCATCTTAAGGGTGAGCCACTCACCTGTCCCAAGAAATGGAGGAGCAGGAAGGCCAGCCAAAGACACTGCTTTTGCAGACAGAGGCTAAGGTTCTGCGCACTCGGCATTCTCAGGCTTTTCCCTGCCTCTTTTCCCAAACCGGGCTTTCGGGCTGCAGATGCACTGCACGCCTTCCTCTAACCCCTGCGCAGGTTTTATAGCGCGCTCCCGGGACGCACGCAAGCCGGTTGGCTGCAGCGCGCGGAGGAGGGAGGCCCCGCGGGTGGGGCGTGGTAGGAGCCCTGGGGTTGCCATAGCAATTGGCTCTAAGGCTGCTCTCCTTAGGGCGCGGCGCCGGGCCTGCGTGTGCCTGTGTGTGGCGACTGGCTTTTCCCAAAGCACCGGGAGGGGCTGGGTGGAGCCCGAGGCCAAGACCCAGGGCTCGCTCGAGAGCGCGTGGGAAGGAAACGCCCGTTTCCTCCTGGAAGTTGCTTCACCTTCCCCCAGGACCAAGACGCCGCCAATCCCCAAGAGTTTCCTCCACCCTGGCCGTTCCAACCGGGGCTGCAAACGTGGGGCTCTTTTGATGGGATGCCTGAAGTTTGGGGCCATCTGCAGTGGATTGGCGAGAGGCCCAGAGGCTTAGTCATAAGAGAAACACATGCAAGTTTGTCACCGTTTAGGGCACTCATTGAATGTGTTGGGAGGGAGGGATCCAGGAAAGAAGGGAGAAAGGGAAAATGTGAGGACGCAGGGGGTGGGGGGTAGAATCCGTGTCACAGTGGAGGCTTGAATTGACCAAATGGCAAAGCTCTTTTGATGCTCATCATTCCAAGATTCAGAGTCTCTAGCTTCCTATTACCCAGGTTTTTTTTTTTGTTTGTTTGTTTGTTTTAAAGACAGAAGTAAAACACAATGCAAGGAAAACGCAACAAGTGCGATACAAGAAAAAAAAAAAAACCTTGAAACACCTGCTGTGTCTTGCCAAGTGCACAACAACACATGTAAAAGCCCAAGAGCCTTTGGGTAGTTAACCGCGAGGTTTGGCCCTAGCCATCGTCAGACACAACGAGTTAGGGAAGAGTGGAGAAGGTGCTTGCTTGCCTTGGCTGCCCTTTGAGCAAAGTCAGTCCTGGCAGTTGCTGTTAATGCGGGGCTGCTGTGAAACACTTGTCATCCTTCACGAGAAAGAGAGAGCAGGTTTACTGCTCCAAAGGCGATGCTGCTTGAAAAGTTTAGCACATTTTTTCTTCCTTTGTAGTTCAGCTCTGTTGCCACCCCTGGGGAAACTGTGCACAGCTCCTTTGAGGATTACTGCTTTGGAAAGACGTTTTATATGAAAAATTATACGGGTTCATGATGTAACTGTAGACTCTAAAAAGAAACAAATTGCCTCTACATCATCTATCTTTCCGGGATGAGGGAAATCTAAGGCAGCTTGTGAAAGGATAGGGTCTGTCCCTGCAATGCCCCAGTTGATGAAATCACTCCAGGCCACTTAAAGTGTTCTGAGTGGTTTGGAAGTGCTGTGACACATTTGCACAGCCTCTAGTAATTCTACTTCCGTTGAGGTTAACAAGACTGGGCAGTATTTACAGCTTAGCTGGAAATGGGGACTGCTAACTCTGCATTCTTGATGAGTGTGTTCAAACACTCTTGAAGCTGCTTGGCTTTGTGGGTCCTCTGGCTAGTGATGCCCCACCTGGCTGTGCATCAAAATCAACTGTCATGTAAATGAAAAACCCAAACCCAAACCAGACAGATTCTCAGGCCCTAACCTCAGTCCATTCAGTTGGATATTTCTGATGGTGTTTTTCGGTAGTCAGCATTTTGATGTACTTTGAAATGGGAGCTGTTGTTTGGAGAATCCTGGAGAGGGAGAAAAAGCAGAAGCATGGCTAATGGGAAGGCAAACAGCATTGGCCATGTTTCCAAAGTATGACTGGGCTAAGAATGAGGCAAATTTGGCAACATTGAGGTTGGGCTAACTCTTCTTGGAAAGGGTGAGAGAATGAGAAGAACAATGTAACTGTAAGATAAGCATGAAAGTGTCCAGAAGCCATTGCTGATGTGGGTGGCTACTAAAGACTCTTGATTGCACATGGTAGAAATCGAGCTTCAGTAGGTTTTGGCCAGAAGATTTTATTGGAAGGGTACTAGGGTATTGCCAGTGGTAACAGATTGGGAATGATGCAGCTGGACCTTGGAAGCCACAGGTGGAAAGAATTCCTTCCTTGTCCCTTTTGCTTCTCTTCTGTGAGCTTTAATCTCTCCCATCTAGAGCAATTTTTTTTTTTTCATGCAGGGGAACAATGATACTTCCAAATATCTCCATAGAAAGAATGTCTCTGTTTGAATCACTTGTACAGGCTTCTTTATTAAGAAAAGAGGGCTTATTTTGGTTCACTGTTCTCAACTTTCAGAGCAAACAACATGACCCAGGCTTTGGTTAGGGTCCCCTCCTCACTGCACCATATGGAAGGAATGTGCACATTCAACATCTGATTACATGTGCGCGATATTTGTCTCTGCTTATAAAACCACCTGGAAAGGCAGGCAGCATCCTTCAAGAAAAAAGCAAGTTTGACAAGCAAAACCACACATCTACATGCTATTTGTTCTAAATGCATCTCCACATTGCACCGGTTGAAGGGAAAACCATCTGGTGACATTCATGTCCCAACATGCTTTATTGGCTCCTGGACACTGTCTAGAAAGTTCCATGTGTGGATAGACACTGCCCACCATGCAGGCTCACTTTGCTGCTCTCTTTGTGTGTCTCAACTCAGGAGATGGTAATTGGGAGTCTGTTTCTGCACCCGTTTCCCTCTCCTACTAAGGAGCCCTTTTTAGATAGGATAAGAGCAAATTCACCAAACCATGCTCAAAATCTACTTGGGGGACAGACTTGTGTTAGTTGTTCTTGGACGTAGGGGATGTTGTGCATCTAACAATGTTCCTTGTCACTATGCTGCAGGGGCTGAAGAATTGGAGGCTTCAACACAGCAGATTCAGTTGTTCCTATCAGCTGTCCCCCACCTGTGTCTGACCTGTACTTCTCTCTGTCTTTCCTGGCCCTAACAGTGTAAATGAGAGAATACCAACTGATGATATTTTCCTGTTTGAACTAAATTGTGCGGCTGCTGAGGTCCCCAGGGGAAGTCAGGGGAGTCCTTCGTGAGATTCCTGCTGCATTGCTGGCCTTGGCAGTCAGCCGAGGTGATCACTTCATGGGTTATGAGCTGCAAGGCATTTGGTTGGTTTGCTTTTTTCCTTTCATTTCTCCTTCTCCTCTTTCCCTCTCATCCTAGATATGACACCCAGGGTTCATTCTGTCTTTGCTGTTTCAGGCAGGCTATTAATTGTTGTGTGTTCTTTTTTTTTTTTTTAAAGATTTGTTTTTATTGCAAAGTCAAATATGCAGAGAGAAGGAGAGATAGAGACGAAGATCTTCCATCCGTTGATTCACTCCCCAAGTAGCTGCAATGGCCATAGCTCAGCCAATCTGAAGCCAGGAGCCAGGAGCTTTTTCTGAGTCTCCCACTTGGGTACAGGGTCCCAAGGCTTTGGGTCGTCCTTGACTGCTTTCCCAGGCCACAAACGGGGAGATGGGTGGGAAGTGGGGATGTCGGGATTAGAACCTGCACCAATCTTGGATCTCAGTGTGTTCAAGATGAGGACTTAAGCTGCTAGGCTACTGCACCAGGCCCTGTTGTGTATTCTTATTACTTATCAGTCAGTACTCCAGCTCAGGGTACATCTAGAGAACTTCCCATGTATTATAAAAGCAAAACACTATATTGTTTCCTTTACTTCTGTGTAATCTTTCTCATTGTTATAAATTACACTGAAATATTGATACTTTATGTCTATAGTGGACAAAAGAATATAAAGCACAGGCCTTCTATATCAGCAAAATGGACGCAATAAGAACTTACTGTATCACCCGCTCTATGAACAACCTTCTCACGCTCCTTTCCATCATGATTATATTCTCTGCAAACTCACAGACATTGCGTCTTCAGTCATTGTTCAGCCAAGCCACGTGTAGTTAACTCTCATAATGTGTCTCATAAATCAACTTCACAGCTCTTTAATAATTTTGTTGCTGTTTTCTGAATTTCCTTCATATGTCCCTTCTTGTGGGCCCCAGGGAGTAAGAGCACACAGTAATTTACATCATATACCAGGCAGGCCAGCTCTATGCGCTCTCTGGTTATGTGGCTAATTTCAATCACACCCTTTCACTGTGCTGACAGGTCCTTTGAATTCTTGCTTTTCCAGAAAAAGTGAAGGGCAAAGAAGAAACAGTGATGGCAAGTAAAAGATCAAATGCACTGTCCAGAGCTATCGTCCTTACAAACACCTTTTTATTGCCTATATTTAAAATCTTTAAAGTGATCTTCTTAAAGAAAAAAAAATGAATAAAAAGCAATTTAAGGAATAAGAAGATCTGGAATTTTACTTGTACAGTAGGGTGAATATAGATAATGTTAGTGTATTGCGTATTTCACTATAAAAAAGAGAAATGGGATTCTGGGCATTTCCCAATAAAGAAGATGCATGAAGACAGAAATATGTACCTGCTAATTGGACATTACGTGATACTCATATGTAGTGAAATCACAGAGTATGTTATAAGTATGCACAATTTTATGTCTGATAATTGTTATTATTATTTTAGATTGATTTTTATTTTTTATTGGAAAGTCAGATTCACAGAGAGAAGGAGAGACAGAGAGAAAGGTCCTCCATCTGCTGATTCACTCCATACATGGTCGCAATGGCTGGAGTTGAGCCGATCCCAAACCAGGTGCCAGGAGCTCATTGCGGCCCTCTCACAGGGGTGCAGGGTTCCCAGGCTTTGGGTTGTCCTCCACTGCCCTTCCAGGCTACAAACAGGGAGCTAGAGGGGAAGTGGAGCAGCTGAGACATGAACTCGTGCCCAAGGTGAGGACTTTAAGCCTGGCCCTGCTAATTATTTTTAAAAACTAAATAAAAAACTTTTAAAAAGCAATTCAAGATAAGACATTACCAAAAAATTGATAAATACTTATTCATCCATTTACCTCATTAGTGAAAGGCTTCTTATAGGAAAATAGACATTTTGGAAATTGAATACTTTCTT